GAAGGAAATTGAGAATGGTGTCCGATGGTTTTCTTTCACTCTGCCTCTGTTCATCTCTGTCTTTGCCTGGCTTGTGATGCAGGAAGTGTAAAATGAATGTGAACTTCGAAGCCACAAGGAGGTGGATTGCCACACTGACTGCAGCCATAGAGTTATGCATAACAACCATTGTGAGGATGACGCAGGACTGGGCAGGGTTCTGTTCTAAGGCACCTGGGTTTGGGACCCATCAGAACGGACTTCAGGGCACCTAAATAAAGCCACAACAGGGATTTACAATGAAAGGGATCCTACCAAATGCATGGCAACCCTGGGTGGTGCAGGGGTCTGGAGGCCAAGTGAAAGGTTGGACCTTCGAGTCCAGCCAAAGCTCCTTACAAAAAAAGCCCGGCAATTTACTTCGGCAAAATGAGCCACACTTCTACTGGGGCGTAGGTGGGGTCACAATCAGGTGGCGTGCACTCAACGGCAGTAGACTGGGGCTGAAGACACATTTCCTTAACGTGGGGTACTGCTCCATGCTTTCCACAAAGTAGATATGGCTTCCTTTTTTACCCACAACTAAGTCTACAGCCTCCACTGGTGCTCTTATAGGAGCCCTGGTAGAGTGGTCCTTATAGTGCTGGGCTACTAAGTCCAAGATGGGCAGTTCAAATCCACTAGCTGCCCTGCAGGAGAAAGGTTTATAATTTTGGAAACCCTATGGGACAACTCTGCTCTCTCTTTCATTAACTTTAATTTTATTGTCTTTTAATAAGTTTCATTGGCACATAATGCACATGTCATACAATTCAATAGTTCCATCCTATCAAGAAGCATTGGACAATCACTGCCAAAATCAATTTTAGAACATTTTCTTCTCTCTTGTGCTCAGCCTTATTAGCTTCCCACAACCTCCCCTGGCACACCCCAAGAGACTATGCCTCCACTTACTGTGTCTATATATTTATATAGCCTGAATTGAATAAATGGAAAAACCTACCAAAAAAGAATAAACCAACAACAATAACAAAGTAACACAGAGGGGAAACCTCCATTGAAAAGAAAGCAGAAAAAAGAAAAAAAACTAGAACAAAATTAAAATGGGTCAAAAGGGAGAGCCAAGGAAAAGGTGTTAAACATTAACCTAACAGCCTCTGCAATAATCCACTCGGCGATGCCTTCTGCACCATGCGATTCGCATCCCTAGCGTGTGGTCAGAGGCTATTCCCGTGGAGTTTCCCTTGGCTTTTGTTAAACTGAAACCACTTTAAAATGAGTCCAAAGGGAGGTCAAATGATAAGACATTGCATTTTACCCTACCTGTGTCTACCATAATCTACTCTTATCATAGAAGATTGCTACCAGTCGGAATGGATTTGGCAGCAGTCGGTTGGTTCGGGTTGGCCCCCCATAGGTGAAAGGACCTTCGTGACAGAAGGTTTGTGTAGCTACGAAAATGTTTTCTTAGAGTCTCCTCCCAGATGCTGTGGCAATGCCAAAACTGGGCTGATGCTCAGCTAGTACCACGGCTTCAATCGGCCTGGCCCACACCCTACTAATGGAAAAAAACCCAAAACACCTGGGCAGTGACCTCCCCTGCCAAGTGGTGGGACTCACATTGCTTTCAGGTGGAGGGCCCCAGGCCTCTGTTTGCCGTGAGAATCATGATGTCGTGTACTTCATGCTGTCCCTCCATACCCAGAGTATACCTCCTCCCGCGTCTCAGTGTCTATGACTTGTGGTTTCATTGTTACCTAAGTCGTCAACAATATCAGTGTAATCCATTTAAGAAGAAGTTCTTTGTGTGGAGGGAGGCGGGCTGCGGTGGGGGCACTGGTATTGACTGGCGTCCTACACCAAAGGACCAGTAGTTGCAGACATTATCCTTCTATGCTAATGCTTACCAAAAAGGATTTCCTGCCAAGTGGATGTGGTGGGAAGTTAGGGCACCAGTACTGAGTCCTACGTTCCTTTCAGGGAGCCAGGTACTTAGGAGGCTCCTTGACTTTTCCTTCAGTTACTAAGCCTCATCCTTTGACCAGTTGCCTCAACAGGGACCAGCTAGTCCGATGCCCTACGTAGGGACTGGACCAATTAAGCTGCCTCTTCAATACTTGGGATTCATCCCGAGAACACCTGCCATCACCAGGTTAAATCAGCCTGCCTAATATTCATAAAATCCTTTCAACAAGTGCGGAAAAACTTCCAAAAGAGCATTCCTCAGTAAATATCTATCATTTCCCTATAAGCAGTCACATCTGGTGACAAAGCTCTACTCCTGTAACCTAAGATGCCAAGCATTTTTCAAAATCACTGGATTGCAGACATTTTTTAAAAATGTATTTGCTTGCCAAAATTGCAAATTGGCTCCGTTTTCCAAGGCCCAGGGCATCCGTCTCTCCTAAGAGGGAAGAGGAAAAGGAGGCAGCCAGCAGCGGGGGATTGAGATGCAATTCCTCTTGGCATGTTAACCTTGGCTCTGTGGGTGGGTTATTCCGGCCAGGCTCTCTGATGCTCCCTACCGCTGTGGCCATCGCCTGCTCTTCCTCGTGGCTGTGCCCTGGAGCCTGCTGACCGTCACAGTGGTCATCTCGGCATCCTACGTCTGGGAAGCTGTTCATGGCTTCTAAGGCATTTTCACCTATAGCATCTCATTTGTGCTTCAGCAAACTGTGAGAGAATGAGGGTGGGTATAATTATCCCCATGTTCCAGATGAAGTTAAATGCTTTACTCAAGGGTGCACAGCTGACTTACAATCATCCTGTATCCTAACCCGTGTCTTCTGTCTCTTACTTGGGAAGGAATAGAACTCTGCATAAAGTAGTTTGTCTTGCTCGTCAGCCCAACTGATTTGGGGCTTATTCCCAGTGATAGTCTCCTTTAACTGCAATAATGGCTAGTCAGGTCACACGTTATACACAAAATCAGCTATTTTCATCACCAGCCTTACCAAGAGGTTATTATAAAACACACACCTGTGCATGATGTGATATATCATGTATTCTGTAGTTTGTACTGTAAGAGCTCAGGTGGGGCAGTGGTTAAGCACTCAGCTGCTAACTGGAAGGTCAATGGTTCACACCTACCAGCCCCTCTGCGGGAGAGGGATGCAGCAGTCTGCTTCCAGAAGCCTTTGAAATCCTGTGGGGAAGTTCTACTCTCTCCTGTAGGGTCACTACGGGTCAAAATTGGGATTTTATCAGATCAAACCATATCACATCATATTATCAAAGAGTACCTATCTAAGAGTATATATTTGATTTATTTTGTCCAATATTTTTCATACTAATGGGCTGTAGGAAGTCCATTGGCTCATGAAATCAAGGCGATGGTTTGCTTCTAGTGATGAACAGGAGTAAGCTAAGTTAGGTTAGAATTGAAAATATCAGTGTGCATTGCTTACAGCCAAGGTAAATCTTGTTCTCTGAATCCTTGTGTACATAGTCTGTGGGTGTGGATCACAATGCCGAAGGCATTTCTCTTTTTCCCCCCCTCTTTTTATGAGGTCTGTTTTGTCTTTTTATTTGTTTATTTTTATTCATCATTTCATTGGGAGCTCTTTCAGATGTCATAACCTTCCATTATTCATGAATATCATAATTGTACAATTGCTACTACAACCAGTTTCAAAACATTTTCTTTCTTCTTGAACTCTTTGATATCAGCTTCCCTTTATCACCTCTCTCCCCCACCCTTCCCCCCTGGAACCTTTGTTGTTATTGTTATATATTATTGTTATTATTCTATTATATATGTGTGTGTATATATATTAGCTGTATCTTACCCCATCCAATATATCCGTTCTCCTATCAGTCTCTTATTCACTCCCCTTGAGTAGGGTTATACAGTAATCATTGCTGTCAGTTCCCCCTTCTCCCCTTTCCCCTCCCTGTGGGCTTCCCATATCCTCAAGGAATCATTACTCCCATTGTTGTTTATGAAGAGTCATCTATTCTGGCATTCCTGCATCAAATGCACATGAACACATGTACGTATAACAGTATTAATGAGATGAAACATAAGCCTTAATAGTATGGGGATGGAATATTAAAGAACCAGAGGGTAGTTATGTGTTTCATCAGTGCTATACTGCACCCTGATTTCCTCATCACTGCTCCCCGTCAATCCGCAGCCCCTCTGTGAGGGCCTGTCCAAACGTCTCACAGGTGGGTTTTGGGTCTCCACTTTGTCCAAGCCCTTTCACATCAATTTGAATGCTTGTTTTTGAACTTCTGATACCTATTCCCATCAACACCTCATGATCACACAGGCTGGTGGGCTTCTTCCAGGTGGATTTTGTTGCTTAAGACACTAGACATTATATATTTTAATAGGCTTGCACCATCAGCTTTCTTCATCACATTGGCTTGTGCTCCCATGTTGTCTTCAGTGATCGTGTTGGGAAGGTATCATACAGTGCCATGTTATTAGAACAAATCGTTCTTGTACTTAGGTGAGATTTCAGTAGAGACCCAATGTACATATGTAGACGAATACACCTATCTCTATATAATTATATTTTTACATATCTATATTTATACCTATGTATACATTTTTGCTGAAAGTATTTCTTACTAAGAAGTCTTTGCTGTTTGCTTATTTTCTCTCACTCCTCTTTATTCCTTACTTTTTCTCCTCTCCCACCTCCTCCTTTAGGTATATGTGATATGCACCCACACACACTACCATCAACATCAGTCCCCATCAAGTCAATTCCAACTTATGGCGCCCCCCAACCTGTTGAGTAGACTTGTGCTCCTTGGGGTTTCAGTGGTTGTGATCTTTTGGCAATGAATCACCAAACATCCAATAACTTTGTCCTATTTTCAGGTACCATCCTTACTCCCCATGCTGATCCCCTCCACTTCTAGGAAGTATCATCTTCTCACCCAGTGGTCCTTCCACTTCCCTCTCTGTTCAAGAGGTCCTTCAGTGGGGTTGTCTCCCACACAGAGCCCTCTAGTTCTTTCCATACTTCATGAATCCAGGCCTCTAACCCACTGCATTTCCATTCCAGACACGGCAGCTCAAGCCTGAAGCAATGAAGTCACCAGGGAGCAGCACTCTGTCCTTCATGCTCATTGTGGTCTGTTCTTTCCAAGCTACACTGAACTTGACTTTAGATGTTCCTCCTTTGGTGAGTAAACCCACATCTTCTGTATTTCCCCCTGTCATGTTCCTCTGGCCTGGGAATGTCACAGACAGAGAATGAGTTAACACAAAATAAACCCAAAACATTCTTTCCCAGGGCCTTTGAGGAAATAACACAATTGGTGATTGCAGGAGAAGGATGAACATAAGGGGATTGTCTTATACTTATCGGGCTACAGATTGCCAAACTTTGAAATCCCTGGTGGCACCAAAAGAAGGTTAAAGAAACTTCCAGAGAAATTTCTCCAGGGTTCCTCCCTCACCTACATTGCAATCTCTGAGCACAGAGAACCCACGTGGAGACCCTGAAAACCACAATCACGATAAAGCAGATTGTCAACTCCTTCAAACCTTAAAATGTCTTGGGACAATTCTCTTTTAGCTATGGTGCGGAAGCACTCAAAACGATGTCACTTGGGCTTACCTCTTTTCTGTTATGTAGATGGGTTATACAAGATAAGTCTGAGGTCATTCTGATACTTTATTTCTTTGAAAGGAATTTTTTTGTTTGTTCCTGGAATAACTGAATTTTTTCTTGTTATTGAAATCAGAGCTTTTATCAGAACAGTCATAGACATAGGACTTAAATATTAATTTGATCTATCTGCAGTAAACTTTTCCCATTGCTGAATCTAGTCCTCACAGCTTACATCAATTTGTCTGACTCTTTAGCCATGAGTTTTGCTCTTACCTTTCTTTTTTAATTAAACATTTTTTCCAACAGTTTTATTGGCATGTAATTCACATATCACACATTTCAATAGTTTAATCACATCAAGAAGAGTTATATAATTATCACTCACCACAATCAATTTTAGAACATTTTCTTTACTCTTGTACTCATTGTTATTAGCTCCCAACTTCTCCCCAACCTCCCCTGCCATAACCCCAAGGAACTATTAATCCAGGTTTGTATCGATAGCTTTACCTATCCTGGATTTTATATACAGGAAAACATTAAAAACCAAACAAGGAAACAAACAAAAACTAGCAAGAATAACAAAATAAAACATATTTTAAAACCTCAATTGAAAACAAAGCAAAAAATAATAAAATATGGAACAAAGTTAAATGGAGCGTAAGAGAGATCAAATGATAGGGTGCTAAATTTTAAACTAATTGCCTCTGCAACAGTCCACTTTCCAATGCATGGTGCATGTTAGCAAGGCCATTCACATCCCTGGTCCATGGTCAGGGGGATTCACCAGGGGCACTATCCACCTGTATTTCCCCTTCATTTAAAAAAAAACACTGAAATAGTTTAAAAATGGGTCAAAAGGGAGATCAAATGATAAGAAATTACAGTTTAACCTAACTACATCTGCCATAATCAGTTTTACAATGTTCTCTGTATAATAACAGGGCTTTTCACATCTCAACTGTGATCAAGTGGGATTCACCAGAGGCTTAATCTACCGTCTATGTTGTTCTTATTCTTTTGTTTCCCCTTAGATTTCTATTATATCCTGGTTCCATATTTCAGTCTCTCATGAGTTAATGTATGTTCAGAAGATTTCACTGTAGCCATCCTATCTATGCTTTTCCTCTGAACTCTGAGAGGACAATTTGGGGTTCAACCTTCTCTGCATCCACCACATTAGTAGGCACCATTGACTGCCTCCACCACACCTCCCCATTCTGCAATCTTGTGTCTGGTTCTCGTGCATTGCTTCCTGATACCAGAAGGATTCCTCTTGGTTAACAGCTACCTCTGACTTCAGGAATAATGAAATGCTTCCCTGAAACAGAAATCTCTGAAACATCCCAGCCCCTCCTACTCTTTTCTTTCTTTTTTTTTTTTTGACGGAGGGTGGGGATGAAGTTTACAAGACATAGATCTCAGTAGCAGACACAAAAATCCTTCCACACCCAGGAAAAAAGTTAGTGTTTACCAAAAGTTGTTTTAGTCATAGGAAGAGCTGAGGTGGATTTTCCAGGGATAGGTACAGATTCTTTTCTAAATCTTTCAGACAAAAAAAACAAAAAAAATCCTGGTAATACATGAGAAAACAAAGAAAAAGCCCAACACACACACACACACACACACACACACACACA